GGCGGGTTATTTGCGTGGGCGGGTTATTTGCGTGGGCGGGTTATATGGGTGAAAATACGGTATGTATTGACAATTTTAAAAGTCTCAATGAAATGAAGTCAGTAGCACATAATTATGAATTTTATTATAATCATGGTTAGTTGAAACAGACAGGTTTTGTGTTGCTGCTAAGCAAAATATAGATAGTCTTGCTTAACAACTTTAATTGGGACTGGCTAATGACTGACTAATGTGAAATTACATGACCACGTATTTTGCATTGGGATAACAGTAGTCAGTTTCATATCAAATTTTGGAGTCCCTCCTAACTATTCTCCTGCCCTTTGCGACGTTCAAGTATTTGCTTATTGTCTTGTACAAATCAAAAGCAATGTGATTGCACCTCATCCCTCTCTTACTCTCCAATCATTTTGTTCTGCAAGGACAGAGGGGAAAAATGCAAATGATTTCTGTTCTGTAGGCAATTTCTCCTTTGCCTGACCCTTTCCTGCTGCTGGTATGACTGCATTGCTCTCAATGTGTAGAAGAGTTAACTGCTTATTCTTTTGAAATAGCTCTGCCCTGCAGAGGAAGGAGGGAAGCAAGCAATTTTGGTAGACAATCTCTCTTTATGAGCTTTAGTTGCTTGAGGGTATTCTAGACCCTGGGTCTCTGCATTCATAGCCCAGCACCTTCCCCATATTAGCCTACTGGCTCTCATGTTTGTTTGTTTTTTAACAGCGGTACAATATATTTTAAAATAATTTTGTTTACAGATTAATCATGTGTTTCTCAAAACGGTAACGGAACAAAATGTAGAGCTGGAACAGCTGCGCAAGCAACAAAGGTATAGATTTCTAAATCTTAAATCACTTTTAAAAAAAACAAAGCACACAGGTAATAGTCTGACGTGTACAATGAGGCTTTTCAAAAGTATTTTATGGCTTATTGCATATCATCATCAGGTGGAAGTTTATAGCTATCTGTGGAGATGTAATATTGTGAGCAAATGCTGACCTCTGTTAGAACTTTAGGAGATAATGAAGACAGCCTTTCCACTGTAATAAATGTGTGCTGTTACTCCATATAGTGTGTATAGTGTGTGTATTTTTTGAGAAATGAACTGTAAATGCTGTCAAATATGTTAACAGAGGCAATAATTCATTGAGCAAGAGCGTAATTTCATCTGTAGGTGGTTTTTTTTCTTGAGATTGAACATGAAATGGTAATGTAAAAACACGATATTTGTATAGTCAGTGTAGAGAAATTTATCTTTTTAATATGCAGACAATCCAAATTGGACTTGAGAACCACAGCTGCAAAAGCTGATGAAATGATGGGACTCATTGAGGATCTTCGCAGCCAAGTAAACAGAAAGGTTGAACAGATCCTTTCTCAATTTTCAAAATAGTTTATATTGTGGGACTTTGTTTCTGCTGGACATAAAGTTGTTTTAAAAAAGCTCTGACTTTTCTGGTATTTAGGAAGAAGAGGTCCTGACTGCTCATGAAAAAGAGGAGGCGTCAGATAAACACTTAAAGGAATTGCAGTCAAGCATAAAACAGTTGGAGACAAGGTAGATTATTAAATAACAGTTTCCACTTTAACACTATAATCCTATTTCAGAACATACTTGTACAGCACATATACAATCAGTATAATTTCTTTCATCAAATGAATTTTAGTTGATTATTATTTGTGTGGCCCTCAAGAATAAACATTGTCTAATATTGGCTAAAAATGGCTGCAAAATTGGTTGGAGTTTGAGATCTGCCTTGGTTTTTTTATCCAGTCAAAATATGTTTAAGGTTTAGCCTAGATTTCAGACTCTTCTTGAAAAAAGTAACCTCGAAATTTAAGAAACACTTTTCTAATTTAGAAACATTTACAAAGCAATAAATATTACAAGGTTTATCTGGAGAACAATAAAATGATAAAAATTAAAGGTTATTATTTTTTCTTGAGATTGAACATGGAATGGTAATGTAAAAACACCATGTTCGTGTAGTCAGTGTGTTTCATATTTAGAGATGTTTATATTTTTAATATGCAGACAATCCAAATTGGACTTGAGACAACAGTTGTGCAAGCTGATGGAATGATGAGGAATCTACGTTTGTCAAAAGTTTTCCTATTTCTAGATATCTGAAACTTCACCATTTCACAATAATGGTGAAAACTACTTGAAAGATGTGCAAAAGGGTGCTGCCCCAAGAATATTTGATTTCATCATATTAGAGAAGAGATTTAATTTAATCTTATCAGGTCTTGAAAGATAGAAGGACAATTATTTTAGTTGCAGTCGTACCTAAACTTAATCTTAACCTAAATTTAACACTCGTTTGGTCCCCGTTCCATTATGCAGACTTTGTGTAGCTACAAAAGATTCTAAACAGCTAAGATCAGAAAGAACAAATCTTGAAAAAAAAATTCAAGAGCTGCAAACAAAATGTGTGAATATAGAAGAAGAGAAGTATGATGCTGTAGCAAAAGTCCGAGACAGCATGCAACTCATAGAAGAAGCTAATCTCCAGAAGAGTCAGGTGATTAATTTATTGTATATGTTTATGGTACAACTGTGCTTTGTTGAACTTACGTTAATCTGTTTTCTATTAAACACAAATAGCTGTATTTTTAGGGTTATGGCTTGACCTACCTTCAGTAGGAAGTTTTTACTAGAATTTGACCATTCTTTCCAATTTTAGGCAATGCTATCAGAGAAACAAAAAGAAGAGGAAATTGAAACTATGAAACAAGCCATTTCTCAGCTGCTTCAAGATGCTGCTTTAAGAACTAGGAAACAAGTAAACAGTCATGCTTAAAACATTTTCATATTTTCTTACACATTTTGTTCTTGTAAATTACATTAATAATATTGATACTGTTACTCTAAAAGCTAAATATTTGAAAGTTATTTCAATTGAAGTATGGAATTTTTTGCCTGTAGATAATTTAGGTAATTTTGTGAGTGGACCTTTGTTATTGGAGAAAAAATTATTTCTCCCAATAAACTATGGATGTTACAGTTCGTGTAATTCAGCTGGCAGAACCAGAACTGTTGGACTGATTCTCCTTCAACCCCCCTAAGAGACTTGCAGACTTAGGCAGGGTAGAAGTGTGGTTGCTAAAAATCCCAACTCACTGTAAGTTACTATGTTGTTGACTCATAAAGTTGCCATGGTGAGGAAAGGGGGGGCACGCATTCCATCCATACCTTCGGCTAGAGTCGGATCTCAAATTACTACAGCAGGCTTGTGAGATGTGCACCTCGTTGGAGAATGTGATTTATGACACAGACTGAGGGAAGGGAAGAAACAGACAAAGTTTAGCCATAATTAAAATGAGGTCATATCTGATTGCAATGGGGTGTTGTGGCCCGGCAGGAGCCGTTAGAGCTGCCGCCAGACTCCGACAGCGAGGGGCCTTATGAGTTGGCCTTGGAGGAGGTGGAGGACCCTGGACAGGGTGTTGACTCCGAGCAGGGCAAGAGACTGGTTGGCCACCAGGTGGCGGCAGAGCATTGGATCAAAGGGAATGTTCCTGAAAGTATTCGGGAGTAGTATCAAGAGGCAAGCAGGCTTAGGTCTACTCAGCGTAAAGGACAAAGGAGGAAATACAGGAGATGATTGCGAGCAGCTGTTGCTCATTGGGATCCTCGCTTGAGTATAAAGAGACTGCTGGTGCCACGCCCTGGTTACAGAAGTCAACGTTCTCGTTCACGTTCATGAATTAACTTGAACCAACTTGGAGAAGTGGGAAGCCTGTTTGCATTGCTTAGGTTTGTGAGACTTAAACCAACTTGGAGAAGTGGGAAGCCTGTCTGCATTGTCTAGGTTTGTGAGGCTTAAACCAACTTGGAGAAGTGGGAAGCCTGTCTGCATTGTCTAGGTTTGTGAGGCTTAAACCAACTTGGAGAAGTGGGAAGCCT